ATGTGAAATGAACCTAACTAGCTATAAGTTAAAATTCTAATGACTAACACAGCAATGCAAAAAGCAACAGCCATTGTAGAATAAACTAATAAATCAATGATAGAAACCAAACCACACGTTACCAGTCATATAAATTTGGCAGGAAATAAGAAAAGATTGTTTTATAGAAATTTAAACATGTCATTTACATAATAAAGCAACACAAAGAATTGAAAAACAGTCTAACAATATTTAACATAGAAAACGCCATCAAACGCAAGTAACTGCCAAATTCAGTTGGCAAGAAAATCACAAGTCAAAATGAAATGTTATATTTTAATTCATTTTATTTAAGCAGATAAAAAAAGAAATAATCTCGATTATAAAAAAAAGTGATGAGTTTCTGCCCATCACACAATGTGTGTGACTTTGTATGCAAATATATTAAGATATATGCATATGTTTGTGTTGTGGCAAGGGATTTATATGGGATTATACCATTTAATATGTGTACACAGAATTTGACACAGTCTGAAATGAGACATTGAATAATAGATTCTCCTCTTGATCAGTCTGGACAACACTTACCTTAGGGTTGTGCAATAAAATCAAAGTTAAAACAAACAATTTTTAGACCCTAAAAATTAGATAATTATAAGATCTCAAATATTCAGAAATTATTCAGTAATAGAAGTATCTTTTAATTTTTTTTTTTTTTTATTCTGTACAAATAATTTTAGGCCTGTCATCAAATTAAAATATACATATACACACAATTTGAATGAAATTTAAATAAACATCTGTGTGGTGAAGGTTAATTTCCCTATCTGCCAACAACCACTGGGTAACAGGGAAAGAGTATTAACTGAAATGTTCAGCTCTTTTGAAGTCATTTTTCTGACTCTTTCTATATTTAAATGGAATATATTTTCTAATAAATATAGCATGGACAAAGAATTTAGATTTGAAATTTTATCATCTAGCCATCAGTGAAGTGACAGTGGGTTCTAAAAATTGCCTTTTTATATACAATGTGAAATTAAGACTCTACAACATCTTTCTGTAAGATCTGATTGGCAACAAGTCTTCCATAATCAAATAAAATTGCTTTCAATATACACTGAACTCTTTAATTACACACTGTCCAACAAGTTATGTAAATACAAATAAGAGAATATTTTAGGACATAAACATAAGAGTGATTTCAAATAAAAAAACAAAAAAAAACAATGTAGTATCAATTTATTCAAGGCCGGCTTTTGAACACAAGAAAAAAAACTTCTCAGTTCAGATGTTTTAATAAAAAGCTGAAAAAGGCTAACTGAAGCAGTTGATCAAATCAGGATCAAATTCAATTGGGCATATCAATTAAAACTTTTATTTATAAAAATACTCACCAAACCCTTAAATGGACTTTATGAATACTTATCACAAGCAATTCAGTGTTCCTATAAATCTATATAAAATTTCTTAAACATTTAAGATGACTAAATCCAAGCAAAAGGAAAAAACTATGTGTTCAAGCAAACTCAGAATTTTCTTCTAAGTAGGTTTCTAGCATGATAGGAGTATTCTATTCATCAAATCCTGTTCTATCATGATAAAAATATTATATTAAAAACTCATTCCCAAGTGATGTATTTAAAGCAAACATTTATACTCGACATGAATTAATACATCACTTGGAAATTTCTAGTTCAGTCTTCAAGTTATTTGGTTTCCCTAACCCTTTCTGAAAAGAGAAAATCTAAAAGGATATGGAGTGTACACAAAATCATAAACTTCCTCCAAATAAGCCAAAAATAATATTTGAAGCCGAGAAACTTCTAAACTTTGAATATTCTTAAGTTAAAACAAAGAAATTCAGTTTCACATTGAAGGCCAAAGTATGACACATTTCTGATGAGACAGGTTTATAAAAGCAGGTTCTGCAAGTTTGAAAAGTCTTTTTCTAATATAGGTCATGATAAAAGAAAATCTAAAACAATATCTACAGGTTTTTTTTTAATTATAAAATCATTTAATATATAAATTATAAAATTAACACAATTTTAACATTTTTTTGATTTCATCAAATAAAATTTATATATTAAAAAATATATATTTTCATTTTATTCTAATTGTGGTTAAGCTAAATATAGCTAAACTGAACTGATACAAAAACTGAATCCATAAATGAACAATTAATTTTTGTTTGATTCAAATACTCCATCAGAGTAATGAAAAATTATTTTGCATCTAATTTCACAAAAAAAAAAAAAAGTTTAAAACTAGGAAAATGCAATCTTTTTTGGAGAGAGAAAATTTCCCAAGTCTCTGTGTAGTACAGAGTAAGTTTTTAATGAATCTCCTAATTTCCTTCACAGTAGTTGATGGTCTGCTTCAGCTTCATGTCAAGTTGTTGATCAACAAATTAGTACTGGAATATTTAACAAAGTAATTGTTATGCTTTCACTTAAGGTCTCATCTGCAACTTTACAAATGAACATTTTGCAAAAAAAAAAAAAAAAAAAATATTCAACCCAAAGATTCTCAAATATCCAAAGGAGGAATTTCAAATCTAAGGAAAGAAATCTATTCATGTAAAATGTGTAAATGATGGGTGGAAAAATGACAATTCAAAAATGGGAAAGGAATTGAGGAAAACCTGGGATTGGACGATGAGGAATGTGACCTGGGACTAACACTGCATAACAGGAAAATAAATCAACTCAACACTATCATGACCTACTTAAAATCTTCGATGTATCCTATAACCAACACCAAATTTTCCTTGAGTTTTTTTTTTTTTTTTTTTTAACTTTATCTTTATAGTCATCTGTTCTAATTAGATACATTCATGATACTGAAAACTTTCAAAGATTATCTTTTCGCTATCAACGCCTACGACAGATTGCGCACTAACAGGAGATAGTTCTCTCTGGAAAAAAAAAAGTTTGGCTTTGGAGTGACCGTATTTATTTATTTTTATTTTTATTTTATCTGGTCGCTTGTATGATGTAATTCAGTAAATTGTAACATACCAATCCATAAAAGTGGATTTATTTCCTTATCGCCACTGTCACATAGCGGAACTGAAGATCCGCTGTAAAATGGAATTAAAAAAAAATAGGTGGCACTTTGGTCTAACCTCAGATACTCAGGAAATTTTTATTCTTATTTGTAAGAAGGAGGACGAGTCTCTAATATTCAGTTTTAGCATGTTACAAGTATCTTTGACACTTTTTTGTTCCCTTAAGCAAAAATGCGGTACTTGGTAGGTAGCATAATTTCAAACTTAGTAAGTCATTTTTTATGTTTACAGGCCAGAGCCATAAAAAAAAATGACATTTGTATTCCTATCGCTCGGGATTTTATTTTTGTAGATACAACATTACTCTGAGACAGTAATTTCGATTTTAAAAATTACCATTCACTATTCAGTAAGTTAAAGAAAGCTATGTCGATTGCAATTTTAATGACACATGTTTTAGTTAAGGTTTAAAAAATAAAATAAATTAACTCACTGTTTGAATAAAGAAAAAGCTCATTTGTAAAACAACACGTCCACGATAAAACAATTATTTAAGAAGAAAAATAAGGAAAATATCTTTTAGTTTCAGTTCACAGTGAAGTGAACTGTTCACTAAAAGATTTTAAAAAAAAAAAAAAAAAAATTAAAAACTGACTAATCCAGAATCGTATTAAAAGGTTTACCGCTAATAAAATTAAATACGAGCCACGTTTGCTTGGAAATAACACGAAGCAAATGATGACAAAGTGGGCGGTTGTTGTAGATAAATGGTCAGTGCGTGCTAAAGACGACGAGCGAAATAATTTCGTCATCAGGAGAGCTTTAAAAAAATGTGTATAGTTGCTTATCAGGTCAATAAGGAACGATGACATTTAGTTAAAATATTAATCATCAATTCGAAGATACTTTAAAAACAAAATTAATTTTTAAGATGGTCATGACATACAAAAAAGATTATCAATTTTTTTTATTTTAGAAATCAAACTATCAGAAATTTGTTGTTTTTTTTCTCTTTCCTCATATTGCAAATTTAAGAGGATTCTGTTTGCTTGCTCAAGACATCTACAACTCCCTAAGATTAGGAAAAAGAAGTAAATATTTTTTTTAGCAAGTATGACGATAATTAATTTCTTAAACAATAACAATTTTAAAACCGTTAAAGACAGAGACAATGATGTGACATCATAAAATTCGTCTTCATTAAAGGAAGTTAGATGTCTACAAAAGAATAATTGGAGACTAAAATTAGTTTTTCATTTCTAAGTATTTAAAAATAAAATACAAATTTTCATAGACTGACTTCATTTTTATGAGGAAATAAAAACGGGGAAGAAATGCACAAAACATTCGATTTATTGATTTTGTGCAAAAATATGACATTTATGGAAATATCAACAAGAAAGTAATTTTAAGATATATTTAAAAACAACTAAGATTTTTTAAAAAAAAAAAAAAGGTCATGAAAGTACCGAATATTAATATTTCATAATTTTAACTTTTTTTACAAGATAGAAAAGGTTTTTTAATTATTTTTTTTTTAATCGTAAAAAAAAGTCACTTTTTTAAAGAACAGAAATGATTTTCAGAAATGTATTCAAAAAAACTAATTTAATTCCTTTTTTATGTACACCACAAAATGGCCAAAAGGAAAAGGAATTATTATAGAAATCTTTTTTGAATTCAAAATTATTTTATGTCGCAAGAATTAAGAAGATATTTAATAATTTGCCAAAAAAAAAGGAAATCGAGTAAGACAAACTAAAACATGAAAATGCCGGTAAATTTAGCGACGGGTGGAGACAAAATAGGGGATCAGTTTCTAATGAATGCTTTATACTAACTTAAACCCTCACTTTATGGCCAATAAGCACATCCTTCCAACGTTTGCTGTGTCCGGGTGAAGTTAAATAACAAATGCAAAAGAGAACATAAAAGTAGTAAATGTAAGGAATAATAGATACGAATATAATAAAACAAATGGTAAATGTATACAATTTAATTTACTTACGGAGCGAATAAGAAGGCATTATGCACCGCGGAACGTGTTTACAATAGATAGAATAGGGACTGCAAATTCGTTCGACAAATCTTTCGCTAATTTCCGGCAAAATTCGAGAAACGTTCGGTAAATTACGGCGACTAACAACGACGTTCAACTTTACGCTAAATCGAACTTTCGGCGTTGTTCGGTATTTTTCGTAAACCACGCCTAATGAAGACTGCTATTTTTTATTTCTGTTGTTTTTTTTTTTTTGTCGTCAGTGACAAATTCGGACATGCTCAAGTTTTATTTCTTTATTTAAAGATTTTCCTATTTTTTACCATATTTTGGGGAATAGTATACTACAGCAGACTTATAGCGACCAGAAAGTAATAAGTCCAAATGGTTCATTTGAGAACGGAACGGATTTTGCTCTAAACCGAAATACTGCTCTTTAAGTTTTCAACTTTCGGATGAAAAATAAAAATAGATATACAAAAAAGTTGAGACTTTTTTTTGTACAACTAATTTTATTGAAATAAAAAAAAAACTATCAAGTCTTGAAATGTTGCTGATGTAAGAAATATTCATCATTTAATTGAATTTGTTACCTTGTTAAAAAAATTATGTGAACTATCTCCTGGCTGAGATCACAATGATATGAGTCATTCAACAAACATTTTTTTTGCTTTCGTTTTTTTTTTTTTTTTTTTTTGAATGTCCACTTGATCACACGCATCAGTCAAAATTGTAACCAAGGTATTTTCATTTGTATCATCTTGCGAATATGTATCGTTTTACTTTTATGTTCAATAAGAAGCGTAGTGACAAGAATTAGTTTAGGAAGCCGTAAGGATTATAACAGCATTGGTAATTAGTCACAATAATTCATTATCAGTCCTATGACTGGGTTTGCCCATAGGGTTGTTGCTCAGATGAGCACCTGACCAGTTCCATCCACATATCTGGGTCGAAAGCCGGATGGGGTGAGGTATTCATTCATGCGTCGCGTGTTTTGGGTAAGTGGACCTGACGGAGATCACCCAGCAGGAGAGGTCGAACCACAGCCGAAGTCCTCCAACCAGAAGGCTCACCTTGTATATGGATACGTAGCTGTTGATGCCATGGGTGGGGGAACTCTTCACTCTGGCTGTTGACTTTAGTCCACGAACTCCTCTGCTCAGCGATACAGGTTGCATCCTTAGCTATAGAAGCCCAGTCTACCAGCCCGTTGTGCTAGATGGCCGTTACCTTACAAGAAAGTACATCTGCTCTTTGACAGGCTTTGTATTTTAATCCTGCTCGATGTCTAATCATCCTAGTCATCTAGTCATCCTGTTCACCAGAAAAACCTGATGGAAGAACTTGTTTAGTCGCCGATGAGCCTGTCGGAGTTAGCTCCTCCTCAGCTCCTTAACCCTTCACCATGGGTCTCTCTCCCCTGGCTATAAATACTTGCTGATCCTTCGCCTCGACCTCTTTTATCCTCAAGCTTTCAGCTTTATACCACCTCGCAGATGTGAGCTCTCACAGATACAGCGTTTCCCAAATTCTGGGAACACGCTAAGAACAATAATCGTACGTACGAACACTCACCACAACACATACGCATAATATTCACCACACGCACTGAATGTAACTGTCCATGTACTTGTAACTTGTACTTGTTGTTAATACATATTTTGTTTACATATATTTATCGGTCTTGTTTGTTTCTTTGGACTTAATTAAATTCCAACTTTCTCATGTAGTTGGACCGGCTAGCAGGAAAATTCTACCCACATGTTTTCTTCTACAATACATATTCATTACCGCCACGGTCCGCTACGAGCCGAATACGCGACAGCTAGTACTGGGTTACATTTTATCAGTAACACTCGGAAACTGACTTGACACTTAATATAGAAAATCAACATCCAATAATTGAGGTAAAATTAAAAATGTAGGATTGATAGGGAGTAATCGCCACCTTTCCGTCCTAATCTTGACTATAAGCTGATGTCTAAAGTACAAGATTGTCCCCATAGCTTCCTTCTGCAACATATCTGCCGCGTACCCTAGACTGATTGTACCACTGTTAAAACCCTCTTTGCTTTAGGGAAATTTTGGTGGGGTTTTCAACGTTCTTCTCGCTCATACTTTTTACATTGAGTATAAATTCAAGATCTCTGATCTTTTTGGAATATGCCAATGTTTCCTCTACTTGCTCCTCAGTTACGCGGCAGGCGTCTTTCCCGGGGCCATGATGTGGTTTTGTTTTTTTGTTTCTTAATTTTTTCTTCTTTGGAAAAGTTTTCAGGGCTTCGCTGCTTTTTTATGAATCATGTTTTTGTGGTGACTGTGAAGGTGGGGGATTGAGTGTGGAAACTGGTGTGGTTTGTATAGAAGAGTCTGGAGAAGGAGATGGTGTGGTTGTCTTTAAGCTGGTTATTTTGGAGGGGTAGCGGTCAATGATCTTTTCATTGGGAGAAGGGCCATGTCATTGGGAGAAGGGAAGACGGGACAGAGGATTAGCGGGGCCCCGTTACCCCCATTGGCTTTGGTTTCTTTTCCAGGTTTTCGTCCAGTTCTTTTTTGATTTGTTTCAATTTAAGAATTTTGTCCAACCTCGGTTCACACTTCTTCAGTATATCCGTTGTTGTAGTAACATTCGACGCGGGAGCGTCGCCCTTGGCGTTGGTAGAGGAAATGGGGCTGTAGGCGACTTTTGACCTGGAGTCTTCAGGGGAGTGAGGTCCTGCTGTTTGGTGCTTCCCTCTGCCCCTACCAACGGCACGTAATTCCCCTTCTTCCTTTACCTTACTAGCACTTGCGAGTGGTGTCAGTTATTGGGGAGAAAGTGGGACGGGACCCAACCGCGGATTTCTCCGCACCGGTCCGAGTTGCTGGTAGGCAGAATACAGGCGCAGTGGAACTATCAGTATCGGCCAGAGGGGGATTTGGGTCACCTGAAGTCAGAACCCCAGAGGTCTTCGACAGGAAGAGGAGAGGTGACCAGTTTCTTCACACTTCCAAGTTGGTTTTCAGCCGGTCACCATGACCGGCATTTTCCGTCCGCAAAAGTCCAAACAGTTAGGGACAGAAACGAAGGCGAAACAATCTCATATACTACTACAATGTTTTTGCACCAAGCCTTATATTTAGTTCTTAGGATTAAGTCTTTGGTAATCAACTCTCGTCTCACCATCTCTGTACAATCTTCAGCTGTGCTCAGCAGTACGTCCGACATGAAAAATTCGTTATCTTTTATAACACTTTGTGGTTTGATCCCCAGGGACATCAGTGATCAAATCACTATGTCTTTCGTGGAACCTGCTCAAGAAACTTTCGACAGTTGACTCTGTAGCATTCAGACAGATACTGAAGTAGTCAGTAGAGTTTGAACTTTACTTAGCGCCATCCATGCCATATTGCAGACAAATTCAGACGACATTCACAGTGTTATGCAGAGTATATTGAAGGCAAGGATTCCAGATAACTTTCGTGATTCACTCATCATCTCTCTATAATAGAAAAGGAGAAATAAAACGGACTGTGAAAATTACAGGTGAATCTCATACAGAGGCACGAGTCATCCTCAACAGATTCATCAGTCGCCGAGAAGAACCGTTCAGAGTTGCTTCAGACCAGGTAGAAAAACCTTAGATATTATCTTTATCATAAGACAAAAGAAAAATGAATTGAATAAAACATGCTTTTCTATTCTATATTCATCGACCAGTCAAAAGCCTTTCACACCATCAAAGCTCTTTAAAATTTAATTGAAAACATCGGATGCCCACAGAGGTTTGTAAAGGTCATCCAGCTTCTTCTTTATGGCATGATTGGTCAGGTGCTCTTCAGTGGAGACATGACATTGCTTTTTGAAATCAGAAACGGCGGGAAACAAAGATGTGTCCCAGACCAAGTCCTTTGTCCTCTTCAATATCTTCTCCCAGTTCATGCTGTCTCATGCAACTCAAGGCCTAAAGGAAGGAATATGGCTTCCTTTTTGGCCTCCGTCGTCTCGGTGGCAAAACTAAGACTCTTCAGCACCTCTTTCAGGAGGGTACCCTTTGTTGATGCTTGTGCCCACACCTGGTTAATTGTTTTATCTGCACTTTCAAAATTGTTTTATCATAGTTTCAAATTTGCTTGCCATGTCAATTAGTTTCGGCAAGACAGATCTTTATCAACCTGCACCAAACACCCCCGATGCACCAACTATCACCATAGATAAGAGCCAGCTTGTAAATGTCGACACCCTAAAATAACCCACCCCTAGGTAGAACTATCTTTGGGGATGGTTCTCTGCGCAAAGAAATCGATGCTCGAATCAGCAAAGCAAGCCTTGTACTGTAGGCACATCAAGAAATTCAAAAAGTTTCACATGCGGGATCTTCGCGCCATACTAGGAATCATGTAACAGGATCACATCGCCAAGCTTGGAATTTTGAATCGTGCGAATCTAACTAGCATCAAGAGTCCATACTCATCAAGGCACACGTCCGATGGTCTAGCCACGCCATCCGCATGGAGCAACATCGCATTCCCAGACGCCTGTTGTACGGAGTGTTGCTATGTGGTAGAAATCAAAGTCGACAAAAGAAACAGTACAAAGCTAACACTTTGTTTCAGAGTAAAACTGACCCCCACTGGCGCAAGATTAAATCAAGGGAGCTAGATAATTGTTTTGCTGATGGTTTGCGTTGGCCTGCCAGATCTCTGAAAACTTCGAAGAATACCGGTGTCAAAAAATGAACATTCAAAGAAAACACCACCCCCGTACATTTCGGCATTGGTCACTACCCCCAATTTCCAGTGTCTTCTACTTCTTCAGAAGTTGTGGGTCCATGATTGCAATAAGGTTTTTGAATGTAATGGTGTAAATTAATTTTTGTACAGGTACATTTTCGTCTTATTCAGATTGAAATCTTTCACGAAATGAATACATATCTGATCTAAATAAAGGTTTATACATTTTAGTGAATTTAATTACACACAGTTTATAGGAGACAAATAAATATAAATGGTTTGACTTAGAAAAGATGTTATGTAGTTTCCTTT